AGAGAGAGAGAGAGAGAGAGAGAGAGAGAGAGAGAGAGAGAGAGAGAGAGAGAGAGAGGGAGAGAGAGAGAGAGACAGAGTTGAATCTTGAAATCCTTTTCGGATATTGAGGACCAATCATACAATGTTCATTTCTTCTTGAGTGCTAACTCAATTCAGTTTGTGTCACTTTGTAGTGCCAATTGGCTTCGCCTTGTGTTTTAACCTTCCGTCACCACATCCAATTTTGTCCACTCATGCAATTGTATTTTCAGCCGTGCTACCTTCATTCAAATCTCGTCACATTCGAGCTGCCATCGGCGTTGCCTTTTGGGTTTTCCCTCCACATTCCAATTTTTCATTGTTTTGGGTAATGCATAGGAACCGAATATATGAATGCGCGTGCAGACGGGAAGCATTGACGGGCCAAAGAATTGACAGCATTCAATGTTGAAATAAAAAAGCATCCAGCGCAGAGGACGAGACGGGCCATCAAATGTATAAAGAGGCCCGGCGTATTGTATTTTCTTCTATGTGATGCCTCACAACATTCAAAGTGAAAATGCATAGATGAGTGTAGACGACGGGGAAGGTTCAAGAGAGAGGTAGAAAAGCATAGAGTTAGTTGGAGTCCGGATGCATCCGAGTATGCGGGCTGAACATCACACCACACAAGACACAAAATAACAAAAGCGAGAAAGTCAATCACGAAACAGGTGCCCCAACAACAGGGACGTTCGTGATAATTGAAAGCCAATGAGAAAGAACAATATTGTCGACGACAAACACGCCGGGGACATGACAATTTCACCCGGAGATATCCTAGCAGTGACAGCCAGTTCTGCTCTGAACCAAACCGAGAACACCCACTTGTCTCTCAAGGAAAAAATGAAAAGGAACAAATTTCGTCCGGAGAAGAACGAAATGTTCTTCTACGTCAACCCTTCTACACTACATGATCAGCAAATAGATAGACGCTTACCTACCAACATCGCAAATCGCCAAAGCCAGTCTCGCTCTGATAGAGGAGATGTGTCTATTGGAGAAACCAAAAGGTGGACGTAAACCTCTCGCCAAACAGGACGCGAACATCAACATGAACACCCCACAACTAGCCCCGTCGTGCTGCCGAGGGATACCTTTCACGCTGACCTCGCGAGCGAAGTGGTCGAAAGTGCGACCATCACCGGCGGCACCTGCCACCGTATTCAAAAATTTAACAGTTTTATCTAAAAGTGCGGAGTAGAAGGAATCTTTGGATGACGAACACGAGAAAGAATCATAGATTTCCAAAACACGTATAGAGAAGTCAATGGCCAAAAGACTCCAGTGTTCGCCGTCCTTGTGCACTGGTGCCAAGATGAGATCATGAGACAGGAGGTCGACATCTTTAGCCCATCTGCTAACAGCTGCCGGACCTCGCAGAAGCAGTATAGAGGCGAAGAAAGAGTTAAAGGTGTACGTCTTCTTGGTAGCAGCAGTACGGCCGATGTCGTCCAGTAGCATCGCCATGTAGAAATTGACGACCTCATCGTTGAGCTCCTCGGATCCATCCACGAGTGCGACGATGTCCTTGACAAATACCTGTAAATTGTGCGATGGCAAACGAGCGACGATGATAATGAGCGGCAACCGGGAGCAGATAACGTCTTCAAGGACTGCTCTTCCATCTCAAGGAAACCCTGTTCAACAAACACCCGCAGCACACAGCAAGCACAAAGGACGGGGCACTATGAGAAAATATCGTCCTAGCGGCCATGGTCCGTTGAACCGCTACTCTGAGGCCCGAAAAGTTCACGCATAACGTCACCCCTACTTCTGGACCTTCCACACACAGTTGATTCTAAACTAGCACTGTCCTTCTTTATATCCCTGCAAACCTCGAGAAGGAATTCCTTGCAATCTTTTTCGGCAACACCTGCTGCCTCTGCAACGAGTCTAGCGTGAGGGCCCAATACGGGCACGACTACCCTTCTGGGAGGGCCCCGAGGTTAAGTGTCCCCAGGAAAAGAATCAGTGACATTGCGACGACCAGTGCCTCCCGCAACCAGGACTGACAACCTGGCGAGGGCAGGCGGCTCCTTCGACATGTGTGTTTGTCCACGAGTTCGTCGACCTGTACAAGAAATAGCCACCCAGAGAGTTCAGTAGGAGATCAACAACACAACTTCGCAAGAGCAACCAAGCAAACAGCACCTCACGAAGCACATCGTCACAATCCAGTTGGCGGACGCTTACACACCTCCCCGAAATCGACGAAGCAAGCAACACTTCACGAACGGGCTGACGAGCGGGAAGCAAGCAGAGAAAGTCAGTGCTTACCAAGCTTAGCTTCCACGTCACCAGAGCCCACCGATGGAAGTCCCAACACGATTGACACCCCTGTGCGCGTCGACGCGGCGACGACGTGCTCCAAACCCACAGGGAAACTTGACAGGTTCGAGATGTCGGCGTCGATGACCGGAGATGGCATAAATTCATCCCCATCCCGATGGCGGAAATCCTCCACATCCGCGACAGGCAATTTTAGTCTGTCTGTCTCCGGAGAAAGAGCGTCGACGTCCACAACATCGACAGGTTGGGTTTTCTCCATCGCCACTGTGTCGTATTGTGTTGTGCTCAAGGTCCCATGGATGTCCAACAACACCTCTCCCCCCCTTAACTTCTTGTCTTCATGCGCTGTGTCTTTATCGTCGTCACTCAAATAGAAAAATCTATCTCCAGCAGCGTCAGAGGACTTCTTCAAAACGTCCTCTCCTATCGCGTCGTCGTGAAGGCCGGAGTACAAGGGGTCGTCGTATGCCGGCTGAACTGGTTGCTCGATCCCGACGTCGCTGAGTGTCGGATCAATCCGGTCGTCGGCGGAATCGTCCTTGTCCAAAGTCGTCAGAAGTCGACAACCCTCAACGCCTGCCAGTTGAAGTCCTTCGTCCGTGTGTCTCGGATGAATCCGAATTACGGTCGTCTCCAAAGCTGCATCAGGGAGGGACATGCTCACAGGGCCCTGGTTCGGATTCATCCGAGCCCTCGCAGTTTCGAATGGCGCTGACGTGTCCGCTTTCACCGGAGAGTCGCTTAAGACTGCTAACTCAGCGCGTACCGTCACCAGGCATTCAGCTCCGAGTGTGAGGGGCTTGACATTGAAACTGGTCGCTAACTCACCCTCAATCGGACAGTCTGTCAACAGCTCCTTGTGGACTTCCATGCACAGCATTATGGCGTCCTGACACCGATAGTCTGTCATGGCAGACACGTCCTCCTAGTTCGGATGAATCCGAATTTCGGCGCCAGGGTTTTCGGAAACGCGGACCACCCGTTCGAGTTCCGTAGACCGCTGTGCTCTCTTAACGGTACTGGCTTCCCGGTTCGGATTAATTCGAAATTCTTATGATGCCAAACTGAACATGGTTCGAGCTTGTCGGTGCCGGATCTGTGGTAAGTTGTCGTCTCGCTTCCCGGAAGGCACTGAGTTCCGGATGATGATGTCGTCTCCGAGGTTCGGATTGTTCCGAAACAATCCGCCAACCGTTTTTGAAGCTGAGCGAAGTAAGTTCCATTCTTTGCTACAACTGCCCCGCCAACAGCATAGGTAAACTGTGTTGCGCTGGTGGAGCTAATCACAGGGTCCTGCTCGCCAGGCCGCGTAATCCACCCAGGCCTGAAGTCGTTCCCCGTCTCCATTGAGGTGCTGCCTGTTACCGCCATAACCCCACCGTCCTCGTCGCGGTCGACATCGGCCCCCTGCCCGTCTCCTGTGTGATGCTTTGTCTTCTCTCCGCTGCGAGGCTTTTTCTTCTCCCAGCTGCCCTTTTTCCCCTCTCCGCAGCCCGTGTGCCCCAGAGACCGATGTTTCGTCGAACGTTGTTCACTTCCACCTCCGGTACCTCGTTGCCCGCCGCCTTCACCATCCCCTTCGCCGTCCTTTCCGCGATACTTGCGCTTCACAACTCCTACCGGCGGGGTGACCGCATGCAACTCCCAACTCACTTGCTTAATTGACGGGCTTGACGGAAGGTCGTAGAACGTGGAGGATACTTCCAGCCATTTATTTGACTGCAATAAATCGAACAGTGTTTCCCCGTATGCGCGCAGAGCAGGGTCGTCCTTACTTCGTCGATTGACCTCACTTAGTCTCTTCAATCCCGCATCGTAGGCGCGAGATTTGAATGTCTCGAGGTCCCAACGATCGTCATATATCCACCCTCCACTTAAGTCCCTCACAGCCACTGCCCAGTTGCCGTCGAGAAGGACTGGCTGGAAATGGTCGGGGTGCCTCACGATATCATGGCCCCAATCTTCGGCTGTGGAGAAGGTGTGTTTGTCGCCCACGTGGTAGGGATTTGCAAGAGCCGCGAGATGCGGATGGTCCGGAGGAACTGGATGGCCGGGTTGAAGACGTTCGGGCTGCGGTGTGAGACGAATAGGCTCCCCCGGCGAACTCCTCAGACCCCTCTTGACAGGTGCTGAGGAGGACACGGGCGTGGGACCGCCCGATGTGGGTGTAGCGAGAGGTGTCCCCGGTTTTGCATACTGACGGCGACTTAGAAACTTGGGTGTTGAAGATGGCCAATTGCCCGTCCAAATCGAAGAGGTCGTCCTCAATGCTCTCCTCCTGCTGAGTCTCGATATGGAAGTCATCATCCTCACCGAATGGCAACCTGTAGTTATCCAAAGTGAAGTCGGCCGGATCGACCACACCCTCGTTAAAAAATACATATTCCAGCCTCTTAATGAAGCTCACTGCGTCGGCCCGACTTGCTCCGTGGTAGCCCTGGAGGACTGCAATGGCGACTTCCTTCCGCACCACGTACTGGTGGTCAAATCTCAACCTTGGTTGTTCGCCGTAAAGGAAGGAGTAGACCTGGTGCCTTTTCTTCGGAGTCAACTTGAAGAACATGTCCTTGTTCGGGTCATAAACGGGCTCGACCACGACATGGTGAAAATCGCATGCATAAGCCCTGGACGACACTTCATGGGTGACATACTGCACGGTGTATTCAAGCTGCGTTGTGTCCCCATCCACGGCCAAGACGTGCCTTCCTTGCTGAAGCAGACTCCACACCACCTGCACGTGCGGCTTGCCCAAGAACAGCACGGCATCCGCCACACCACAGAAGAAAAGAAGTTGATTGCATAACTGATAAGGATTCCGCTCGCCGTCCTTGTACACATTCCCCCTCTTGCTGAGGTTCCCGATGTCCGCGAAAGTTAAGGACTTGAAAGACTTCTCCTCCATATCCGTGGGTGTCACTTTCTGTTTCCTCCGGAGAGCGGCGGCATCGTCTTCGGCAACAACTCCCTCGTACACCGGGTGAGTCAGGAGCCGCGAATACTCGCGTTTGAAAAGGATGTGCATCACATCCGGCTCCTCCCAGACGCTGTTTCCGAACTGATGCGTCTTCTTCGATGCCGTCTTCCGAACCCACTTCCCCGTGTAGCATCGGGTAGCCCCAAGCGCAGACAAAGATGTCATGAAGGAGAGGTTCCACAGGCAGGGAACGAATACGACCAATGTCCAGTAGTCCTGACAAACGAAGCCCAGCAATTTACTCAGAGACGCGAATGCCCCAGAGTCTCATTGCGCACGGTCCACAGTTCCGCACAAGTCGAGCACGCAAGTGTGGGAGTGTAGCTGATGCCTAGTTTTCCCAGCGCCTCCTTATGATCTATGACACTCAATGGGTCGACGTTAAACTGGGCCAGCGTCGTCAAGGCGCTTGTCCTCGTCCACAAAATGTTGATGCATTCATCAACGCCTCGAGGGTTTTTTTTGCCTTTCATGAGATCTCCAGTGATCACCGAAAGGACGACACGCTTCCACTCCGCCGGGAAATGCTGGTCGTTAACGAGGGCCGCCGTTCTCTTGATGTTATTGTCGTGTTGACACCCGAGAAACTGAGGGCACTTGTTGACGTACGCGGTGTCCGTAAAAAATTTCCTGCTCTCGTTCCAAAGCTTGTCGTCGAGACCTTTGTCCTTGAACTCTTCGAACAGTTGGCGCTTGGACCTGAAGGACGTGGAGTTGGCATTCCACTCCCGCTTATCCATTTCCCGTACTCGAACTCCACGTAGTGCCACAGCCTCAGCATAATCTGTTCCATTTCTATTATGTCGACCATCTCCTTCACACTGAACTTCCCCTGCTCGGCCAACTTCTTGCTACTCGTTTGAACCCACACGACGTTAAGGTTCAAGACGCCGGTCAGCAGCCTTTTCTCCTTGCGGTCCATCAAGTCCACCAATTCCTTCCAGCAGTGGACATCCGGCTAAGGAACTTGGACGTAGTAAGTTTTCTCCTCCGTGCCTTTCTTTGGTTTCCCCTTGCCCTTTTTCAACGACGGGTCGTCCACCTTCACGTACCAGACGTGTTTCTTCATCCCCTGGCTGTCAGTCACAGTGGAGAGTCCTGGCTTGGCCACCTCCTTATGGGTGGGCGGCTTTTCAGTCCAACGCCGGCCGTCGGAGGCAAGGAGTTTCCCTTTCGACCACTCACCATAGAACTTCTCCCCCAAAGCGAAGACGGAGTCATCTGCCATGGCCAGCGGGAGGTAGTATCGAAGTTTCTTAGCCCATTCCTTTTTTTTCTTTTCTTCCGTTGACAGGTTCCACAAAGGCGTGTACGGTGTCTTCTTCATTGCCAACGCCATGAACTGCACCCACTTTCGCACCTCCTCCTTTTTCTTCGATGGATTGCCGAGCACCACACGCGGTTTGCCCCTTATTTTCCAGATATTGCGAATGTCCTGCATAGACAAAACCTGCAAACGCGGTGGATTCTTCTTGTCTTTCATATTGTCTTCGCAGCGGACATGGGCGTAGCCGTCGAACTCGTCGTCAGGGAAGTAGATCGGTCTGAACGGCCATTTACAGAAGTTGTAGTACTCGAACATGGGATGGTCTTTCACCTTCATCGCCGCCCTCGCGTTATGCTGTCCACATACAGGATAATACCAGTATTTCTCGGGCTGTGAGCTGTCGAAGTCACCAGGCAGCACGCGCACAGCAGGCTCGCCCCTCTCTGGAGGCGCGACGATGGGAGCGAGAACGAAAATAGGCTTCGTGTATCTCATGTCTTTACGTTCGTAACAGTCGATCATAGCCGACGCGATGGTATCAACGAGGAACCCGTCCAAGGATCGGTGGTTGTACTCATCTTCCTAGTATGGAATAACCAATATTCTTTCGGGATGGATCTGCAACACGACGTCCCTCTGCACCCTTGTCTTCATCTCGAGGAAGAACGCATTGTCGAGGTTAAAGGCGTTGAGGTTAATCTCCACGTCGTCATCCCCCTCCCCGCCGTTGCCCTCATCTGCTCTCTTCTCCCTCGCTGATTTCGACCATTTCCCGGAAGACTCACCAGTTCTTCGCCGTGTCGACGAGTCTTTTGGCGTTTCATCCCCACCTCCAACCCTTTTCCTCTTCTCAACGGAACCGCCCTCTCGTGTTATTGGCGTCCGAGCACTCCCTCCTTCCTTTCTCTGCCTTTTCAGAGCACCTACTCCCTCTCGCTCTTCCTCATCTGCCAAGTTGCGCTTGCCTCCCGACTGAGTCTTTTCAGGAGATCTCTCACGGAACACCCCCTGTTCGAACATCTCGTCCTCACCGGCGATGTTCCCACTTGCTTCTCGTTCCTGGTTCAACTTCGTCTGCAGTTGTGCAGGCGCAGGTCGGTCCCGGCGAGTCGTCTCATCTGACCCATGCACCTCTCGAACCTGCGAACCACCCGCGTGATCGCCAGGCGAAACCTCGGCCACCTGCATGCCACGAACGAACGCACCGATCCTTTCGACCAGACGATGAGGAGTCGTCGATTCTGAGCCCTGCTGCAACCGTTCGCCAACGCCACCTCCACGTGGCGTCGACTACCCAAGCAAACCTTGGCGGCGAGATCCCTGCAAGCCCGGTTTCAAAGGAGCACGCGGATGTTCGTCCTCCGAGTCGTCTAACATGCCCACCTCTTGATCAGGAGGCGTAGCTGGCAGGCCACCATGACCTCCCATCCTCCTTTCAGAGCACTCTCCCCCCACGAACCCAACAGGACCACTGATCGATGTTCCACGTACGACGTCCACGACACTGACAGAGGTACCTGATCTCGCCCAAACCTCGAGGAAGTCTGTCACGTGAACGGCCTCGTCGTGCCCCGGCGCTAGCGGGACAAAGGACGACAAAGACATTGCACGCTGGCCGTACCCGCCGAACATCCTCCCGGCAACCTTGCATCCTTTTGCGATGTCGTCGACTGAACCATCACTTCTGTAAAGCTTCCGCAACGTAAACTTGAAATTGTATTCGCCCTCGTCGACCCACTCGACGATGGACCCTGCAAGACGCGTCCTATCGGCGCGAACGGCGAGGAACAAGAGCGGCCCTCACGGTGGTTTCAACGGGTCGGAGCCGTCCGGGCTCGCCCAGTCCAAATACCATGCCGCAGAAGCGGGGAATGAATCTGACTGTGCTCTATCTGGGCTAACTCCTTTTGGAGCTGGCCATCGAAAAAACGCGGCCGATCTCGGCCTTGTGACCAGTGAGATCGCACGACCGAGATCCGTCGCGCGGATTCGAAGTAATCCCTGCACAAAGATGGCACACATAAACCGAGAAATGGTCCTAAATTTGTTTTGCGATCTCGGTGGGGATCGAACTCGGACCTGTTTTTCAATAGTCGTGGTGAAGGAAGTAGAAAGAAAAACCAGGTGATCACACGTGTAATTACGAAGTCGCAGCACCAGGCTGCCATAACCGAGCAGACAAGCCCGACAACGCGCGCCACCATCGTACCACAACAGCCAAGACCCCGAACACTCCATCGTCAAAAGCGCTGACTCATTCTTGGTGCAAGCACCAAAAAGGAGTCTAACCGACTTATTGCCAGTATTTTATCCACACGTCACAGTCAATCACTCGAAAACATTCGTGGGCGACCCAGGCCCCCACGGGCCCCTGCTGCGACGAACGCGCCAGGTTACAGGTTCGAGGCCTGGCCCAGTCAAAGAAACCACTATAAAAACAAATCCTATGAATAGTCCTAAAACATTCCAAGACCAAGTTCCTAAAAACCCAGGACCTAATCGGAAACATTCGCGGGCGACCCAGGCCCCCTCCCTGCTGCGACGAACGCACCAGGTTACAAGTTCGAGGCCTGGCTCTGTCAAAGACACCACTATAAAACAAATCCTATAAACAGTCCTAAGCCATTCCCAGACCCAGTTCCTGAAACCCAGGTCCTAAGAAACCCAGGTACAGCAAACCCAAGCGGGACTGTACCTAGGTCCCATGAAACACACACTCACCTCAAGCCGCTTACACGTACGACAATAGTTCCACACCCGGTTCTCATGATGCTACCAATCCATAGTAATCTAATTATACAAACTATATCAACATATCATTACAACGGCGCCATTACATGCCATCCTAATGCAAGAAAAAACAACAAATCACGCATACTCAGTATAAAACGAAAGTCCCCTACTGCGACCATCATGCCAGATCGCCGGTACAATACCGGTGCAGAGTCACTCAGTCAACAGTTCAGCTAACGATTTCCACACCGCCCCTTTGTCACGTGAGAAATCCCTCAGCTCGGTTTTGAAGAAGTGCCTTGGGTAATCCCGTCGGTGGAGCTCCATTCGCAGAAGGAGCACAACTCCGACCAACTCCATATCAGCCATGGAGTTCTGCTCAATTCTGTGTAGCGCACTGACTACGACCGCCAGTTTTGCCTTCTTCGATGTCCATGATCTGTAGTCCTGAAAAACTCGAAAAGCCAACTCAGTTCCAGCCAGCAGATTCTTCTCGTTCTTCATTGCCTGGCAACATCCCAGGTGAGGGAAATCTTCTTCCACAGTCAGTCTGCAGCCCAGGAATTCCCATTCGCCTTCACTTGTGTCCATCTTCTTCAAGGTCAAGGCGTCATCGTAACAGATTTCGAACAACGCAAGAATCATCTCCGCTTTGCGCTTCGATTCTGGTTTCCTCGAATCGTAAGCCACAAAGGTGGAGGCGTCATCCACGTACCGAATACCCGCGATCAGTCTACGGTCGCTCCCTAAACTAATCAGAAAGTCTCATTTCGCCTTCACAGACATTAGGCAAGCAAGCGGCGGGCTTGTTGCCTTACCCATTGGTATTCCTATAACTTGCCGCAGGATAGTGCCACTTGCAACAGTATAACACGCATCCAACTCATACTGTTCGAAGTCATGAATCACACGAAAATCAATGAATTGACAACCATCGACCAACTCTTTCTTACTCATCACGGCACCCTTCCCCCGGTGTTTCACCCACACGCCGCGGAGACCTCTTCTCTAGTGCCACCAAATGCACCAGTCCAGAGCTTGCATAATAGTCTTGTGGGGTAATTTCCTAAACACATCCTTTATATCGTAAGACCCCACAAGCAGGCTCGTGTACTTCCCCACCCTCTGCATCTTCCTGTTAATCTGAGTCAACCGAGGTCGCAATCCTCCAATCGATTTCAAGTTAAAATGTCCACTCTCAAGAAGCGCGAACAACAGTCCGTTAACAGCACGTGCTATCTTCCTACAAACACCGTTACAGGGTTCACGGTAAGTCGGGCATATCGGCCTGTACTTCGCCGTGTCCTTGTGTTTAGGCAAGGCATAGGCATTTCCAAGCCTCCCTTCTGCATCCCATTTTCCCATCCGGTCAAAATCTCGCCTCCGGAATTCCTCAAAACAGTCATTCAAGATTGCCCGCTCCTTTTTGTCACACACCTCATACCCTTCGTTCTGCACAAATGTTGTCTCCATCGCTGCCCCATACACAAGCGGGCACATTACTAGTGTGTCTCCCGGATTTCTGTCCAAAGGAGCACGCACCAGTCCGTTCAGCCTGGTCATGAGCTGTCGCACCTCGGCCAAGTCGCTGTTGGCATCGCTTTTGAGTCCACCTACACAGCGTTCCACTTCCTCAGGTGAGAAAGTGATCTTCCCGGTCCCAGTCCCCAGCCAGCTGACGTCCTACACCCCGTTGGACAACTCCTTCCCCAACCTGGACACCACGCCCTCACTCTTATCCCCCGGCACATTCTTGGCATTCAGAGCGATGTTGGGAACGTTAGGCAACTCCCCTATGCGGAAATGGGAAGGGCATATCGGTGCAAGTGCACCCAAAGACTCCATCCGCCGCATAACGGCGGTGATTATGGAGGATTTCACCCACGTTCAGGCTTCTTGTCCAAACAACGCGGGTGCGTCTTAACACCATCTCCATCACTGGACGAGTCAACTCCAACTTTCCCACACCACTCCTTACTAACCGTACTACCTCACCTTTCCGTATTCTATCATCGTATTCGACCTTCACTATGATCCGCCTCCTGACATTCATACCGAACTTCCTCTTGAATACGTCGGACAACATTCTCCACGCCCTAGTTCGACTTTTTTTTTCCGAGAATAGTTTTGCAGCACTATAGTAGCCCACCAGCTCGTCTACCGATTTTGTCGATAGTTCCCCCTGCTTTCGCCTGTTCCTAAACATCCGGATCAGATCCTGCCTCAGCCTCAACGTTCTTGGTGACGCCTCTACCACATTTCATAGCACCATCCATCCCTCTGTCTCTAACAGCTTTTTGCACTTCCTTAACGGCCTCGTACGCCTCCTGACGACTACACGTGATTCCCCGAACAGCCTACGCACTACACGCCATCCATCGGTCCAAGTCTGTCCACCGTTGCTATATACTTCAATCCCAGTACCGTGCGACAGCTTGATTAGCCCATGCAGGAACTCAACAACTCGCACGGTAGTCCGACTTCCGCGTGTTCGCAATTCCAGAATCCTCCCTAGCTGTCCACCGTCACCTCTTATGGCCACGTCCTCCTTCCTTACCCATTGTCTTCTTCTCTCCTTCCTACCCTTCCTCCGTCGTTTTCTGGTCTTCTTCTTTGTCCCGATCGTATTCAATGAAGGTGACCACGTCTTGATCAAGGTCTTCTCCACGGCCTCAAGTTCAGCTCTATCGTCACTAAAAAACATTGGTATCGCTACGTCCATTTCAAAACCCACTTTACCAAGCCAGTTGTACAAGTTCCTCCCGCGTTTTTTTCCACCCTTCCTCACGCAGTTTACGTGCTCACCCCATCGCACCTTTAACTCCCTTTCCGTCATACCCACGTACATCTGCTTGTGCCATGGTGACACCAGCACGTATAGACAACCACTTGCTCCATTCAGATCCAACTTACCAAGATCTAATGCAACCCTCCAGTACTCTACAAACTTCGTGCACCACCTTACCTCTCTCTGCAAAACCAAGCAAAGCACTAAGGCACGCATACAACGCTCATCCTCCTCGTCGCGACCGTACTGCTGTTGTTGCCTCTTAGTTACCAAGCCAATCCTGCGCCATAGATCCTGAGGCCGGCATCCTCACTCGGATGCCTCCTCGTCATCTTTGCCACTGTCCGTCTCCACCAAACAGATGTTCCTTCCGGATCGCCTGACTACCCCTGGAGTCTCCGGCAAAGGAACGTTAACAGGGTCGTAGGCTTTGACCACTCTCCTCTTCACCAACCGATTAATAGCCATTTCTCTCTTCCCATATACGACGTGCTCGGCTTTACAAGCGTCCTTCAGTTCGTCGACGGTCAATGCCTCAAAAATCTCGCGACACTCATTTTCGTATCTCTCACGCGCTCCTGGTCCAGTGCCAGCCGTCACATGTTTGAGAGACAATGAGATCTTCCCGAGTGGTTCTAGTATCGACGCCGAGCTTCCAGCCACGGCTCCCCCTTCGCTCCGGGTTTCGCTAATCCATGTCTTGGCTCCAATGCACAAGCCGGTGCGCTGCCCTTTCATCGGTGTGGTCATCGGCGGGCTGTCTCCCACCGCCATTTCCTTGCCCCATTTTCTCTTATCGTTCAAGCTAAGACCAGCTGCCCTGTGACGCAGCCTAAGCAGCTCGTCGTCTTCGAACTCCGCCTCTTCGGTTTCACCAACTGCGATCATACCTCGGAGCCGTTCCTTTTCTTCGTCAGGTGTCTCACCCCGCTCGTTCGTCCTTATTACTTTCACAACTTTCTTGACCTTCTTAGCAACAATCCCAACATCTTCCTTTTCCTCACCACGTAGCACTTCCTCACGCACCATACGCAGCAAACGTGCATCACGCTCGTCCTCGTATCTTCGTCTTTCCGCCAGTTCCTCGAGTCTCTTTTTCTCTGCTTCCCTCCACATCGCCTCCTCTTTTCAAGCTGCTTCCTCCCTCGCCTCTCTTTCCAGTCGTTCGCATCTCTCCTGCGCCTTCTGCAGGAAGTACTCTCGCATAAGCGCATTTGTCTCCCCGCCACCTCTCCGCATGCTACTATCAGCTGATAGGCTCCTTCTTTCTTGTCCCATAGCCATGGTTCGACCCCCCGGTGCTTGCGGCGGGGGAATGAAGGGTACACCCCTCCTCTTCGCATCTTGGTACTCGTCACACACATTCCGAAAATGGTCGGGGTCTCCACACCTAAAGCAGGTGCGGCCCGCCATCTAGTTCTCCAATCGCGGTCGGAAGTTCTCGTTACCGCTCCCACTGCCGCCGCTGGCATCACCAGATCCTCCGGCGGCGCCACTCCCGCTGGTACCCCTCTCGCGGCTCATCTCGAGATTCCTCGATAACGCCAAATAGCCACTCAGCAGGCCTATTCGCAAGTAGCAGTAGCCGTAGCCGTAGTATCGCGCCGCCACCCCCTCCAGGTGCAATCTCCTGACAGGTTACGACGATGTGAACAAGGAAGTAGAAAAAAAAAAAAAAAAAAAAAAAACAGGGGAAAAAAAAAAAAAAAAAAAAAAAAAATTGGGGCCTGGGAAGTAGAAAAAAAAAAAAAAAAAAAAAAAACAGGTGATCACACATGTAATCACGAAGTCGCAGCATCAGGCTGCTATAACCGAACAGACAAGACCGACAACGAGCGCCACCATCATACCACAACACCCAAGACCCCAAACACTCCACCGTCAAAAGCGCTGACTCATTCTTGGTGCAAGCACCAAAAAGGAGTCTAACCGCCTCATTGTCAGTATTTTATCCACACGTCACAGTCAATCACTCGGAAACATTTGTGGGCGACCCAGGCCCCCCCTGTTGCGACGAACGCACCAGGTTACAGGTTCGAGGCCTGGCCCAGTCAAAGAAACCACTATAAAAACAAATCCTATGAATAGTCCTAACATTCCAAGACCCAGTTCCTGAAAACCCAGGACCTAATCGGAAACATTCGCGGGCGACCCAGGCCCCCTCCCTGCTGCGATGAACGCACCAGGTTACAGGTTCGAGGCTTGGCTCTGTCAAAGACACCACTATAAAACAAATCCTATAAGTCCCAAGTCATTCCAAGACCCAGTTCCTGAAACCCAGGTCCTAAGAAACCCAGGTACGGCAAACCCAAGCGGGATTGTACCCAGGTCCCATGAAACACATACTCACCTCAAGCCGCTTACACGTACGACAGTAGTTCCACACCCGGTTCTCATGATGCTACCAATATGTGAGCCTTGGCATAAGCCAACAACATTAAAAAAAAAAAAAAAAAAAAAAAACCCTGAAAACTAGAACTGGATGTGAGGCGCCACGCGGCGCCATCAGAAGTGATTGGGGCATTTTAGCCCCAATGCACTTGATAGTCGCCCGTGGAAACGGGCGACCGTTTTCTGCAGAAGGCAAGCTCGTTTCAATTTTTTCTTTTTTTTTCTTTTTTTTTTTTCCTATATTTCATTTTAGATTTTCTTTTAGATTTTTGTCTTCTTCCTTTTAGATTTTATTTATATTTTTCTTTTTCTTGTTTTATTTCTTTTAGGTGTACTGAACGCCCATTCATTTCAGACGAACGGGCTATAGCAGTAAAAAAAAAAAAAAAAAAAAACTTGGAATTGAAGTGTCAGTTTGCGCATTGAGAAGTGACGGGGACTTAGTTCCCATGAAGGGCAGCAGACGTTCGTTTTCTTTGAAAGGTAAGTTTTATTTTTTTTTGTTATTTTTCTTTTATTAGATTTTATTTAGATTTCGTTTTTTTTTTTTTTTAGATTTGTTTTAGATTGTTTTTTTTAGATCCCCCCTTCCCAGTTTCATTATGGCTGTGTCCGTTCGATTTTGACGAACGGGCCTTTTTAGGATGAACAAAATCGAATGAACCAGCCGCCACAGGGCAGCTACATTCAGGGCGCGGGTTTTGGGACCTTGTACTTGAGTTACGAGGGGCTCTCTGCACACGCTTTGGTGTATTCCAGTCGCGTCCCAACAATTCGCTCGTCGCTAGCAACGGTTGCGACTGTCGGGATGCAGAGAGAGAGAGAGAGAGAGAGAGAGAGAGAGAGAGAGAATACTTACCTGGTGTGGCTGCAGCTGAGTGTTCGGATCTGGCGCCCCTTTTCACGCCAAACGCAGACATGCGTAATGGGAATGAAGACCCCACTGAACTCGACTCTAGTTCGACTCTGTGAAATGACTGAGAGGGGAGGGTGCCCGTCCATTTTGAACGGCGGGCTGGCCCCAACAATAAAAACGAGGGGTAAAGAAAAAAAGAAAAGAAAAAGAAAAGGGAAAAGGGAAGGAAAGAAAAAAAAACGGTCGCGAATGTAGTTGTGGTTGTGGTTGTGGGCTAGGTTCAGGGCTTAGAAGGATATAAGGGGTGCAGTGACTGCACCTGTTCGTTTTTGAACAGGCTGCAGAGAATGGCTAGGTACAGGCATTTCTAGAAGTATGTGGCCTGGGAGAAAGACCAAATACTTCTAGAAATTGAAGACCCTAGTTCCCCTAGGGGAACATCAAGGACTCAGACCCTTGATTAAGGGTTAAATCAACGGTTCATAACAGTTACAAATTTTTGGCTGAGGGCAAGGCAGCCTACAACCTTCAGCTAGCCAACACTCCACCCAGCAGCCTCACACTTGTGGCAGTGCTGCTGGGCCATTCACCTAAGTGAATGCTGGCTGGCTGCTACCGTGGGGCGGTGCTGCTGGTGGAGGAGAATGGAGGTCTGCAAAGAATTGAAAGAGGAGAAGGGAGGCAATCATAGCCGAGGTTGGGAGGTCACTGCCCCACCTCTGCGTTGGTGCCGCGACGGGTAGGCTGCGCCGGGAGTTAGGCTATGTGGTGAATGACATGCGTTGGGGATATGCTGCCGGATTTACCGTGCAACGTCAACTTTTGTGTGTATGGGGAGATGTTGCCCGTCAGACGATGCAGTAATTGCGGCATTTTCAAGAGTTATGTTGCTGAAATTTTGATTCAGCGGCGACTTTTTTTTAAGGGGAGGTGCTGCCGGGGTTGCCACACTATGCCGGCATCTTTTTTAATGTGAGTGTAGGGAGGTGTTGCTCGATCAACGGCGTATCTGGTGGGGTCGTGCTGCCGAAATTGGCAGCAACGTCGACATTATTTTTGTTGGGGCTATGTTGTCTGGTTGGCGGCACGTTGGTGACACTATTCTGAGGGAAAATGTTGCGGATCTTTTACGTCATAGTGGAGGCTGTTTTTTTTGTGTGTGATCTGGCAGTGGTGCTGCGGGGCAGCCATGGTACCGATTGATGGCGTGGCGAGTGATGGTCTGCCATTATGTGTTTTGTGGCACTGGTGCATATTTGGGACTGTGCAGTGGTGCGTGGACCGGTGACATGAAGAGATCGTGGAGTGAGTGCACGCGGTACTGGCTATTGGAGTTGCAGCGTTTGCGGTTTGCGCCGGAAGGACATCTTTATTTTTTTTGGGGCTCGCGACACATGCGCTTTTTAGCCAGGGTCACCTTTATTTTTTTTGCGGCACGCAGTACAAGCGGTTTTGTGTTCTGAACCACCTAGTATTGCGGCGATGATGTGGGGACCATCTGGGACCATTTTGGGAATAGGTGGGACTGATTTTGAGATCGGGACTGACATGATGGCATGAGTATTGTAAGCGGACAGGCGATTTAAGGCGGCATGGACTTGTGGTTGGTTGGGGAGGATCCTTGGATGACGTGGTGAAGTTGGTATGGCGTTGGGACAGTCTGGGAGGTTGTGGTGCAATGGGACTGCGTTGGGACTAACTGGGGCATTGGGACCACGTGAAAACTCATTTGTGGGAACACCCTCCTGGAGGCTGTGTGTCTACGGGGGTTTCCCATTGAAAGGTTCAACGACCGGTGAACCCCCGTTACAACGCCGCGTTATACCGCGTTAGAACGCAGTACAACGCGACCCGCAAAATGTTTTTTCACAGACAAAAAATAATCAAAAAAAAAAAAAAAAAGGGTGTAGACGTTTTTGTGCTCTACGTCCCCATATTTTTATACTCTTTTGGGGGAGCATTTAAATTATTTTTAAAAACTAAACAACCTAACCAGACCCAAAACACATTGATTTTTTTTTTTTTTTTTTTTGATTGATTGATTGGTTTATT